TTGACCTACACCTATGGATGCAGTAGCTCGAAAGAGAGAACAAATCTTTACAGTGAGGATCATTCCCACCCCCTCCATACACAGTAGACACGAATGGGCAACTGGGACATTGGCTACCCAAAGTGGGGGTGGGGGTGGGGTGGCTACAAAGGCAAGAAATGACTGGCTTACAATCTTTCAAGAAGGAATCTAGATCCAGAGGGCATGGAGGAAGGTAGAATCTCCACTGAGTAGTATCAAATCTGTCTAGGTGGGGCTGATGAAAGGAAATGCAGATAGGTCCCTTGTGATACAATAGTGAATAATTGTTATCAGGACTGATTGTGAGGCTTGGAAAAGTAAAGGTAGACCTTTTGTAGCAAAAGGAGGGGAGTGATTAACTTTGCAGTCTAGGAGTGGAGGTCCCTGGGACCATCAAGGTAGAAGAGTGGAGAGCAGGACCCTATCCAGAGAAGCAGTGACACCAGAGATGAAGGCAGAGATGATGACGTGGAGAGATGGAGCGACTGGGGACTTCAGACTTAGAGAGGGAGAGAGGGACTGTGTGCTGACGACCGGGGGTCAGGCTTGCAGGGTATATACCCTGTGGTTGGTTGCTGATGCATGGAACAGATTGTAACCATGGCAATGAAATGATATATGATAGAATGAATATAAAACTAATGTTATCCCATGTAAACTATCACATAATTCACAATAAAACATTTTTTAAAGAGAGAGAGATAATGGGATTTCTCCAGGAACTTTTTGAAGCCCTCTGGTGTCTTAGAAATAAGTTTCTTTGAAGAAAAAGATAAAGGCATTTGAAAAATATACATGTGACTGGACTTGTGTTTGACACAATGCTGAATGTTACCATTTGCATTCTGGAACGTTTTTGTTTGATTTTCAGGAACCAGATGAAACTGCTCTTCATCTCGCAGTCAGATCTGTGGATCGGACTTCTCTCCACATTGTAGACTTTTTAGTTCAGAACAGGTAGGTGTTCTGCAGTTACAGGGAGGCATTTATTTGTGTTGTATGGCATCACTTTGGAACCCTGGTGTTTATTCCTGTAAATAAAACACTGAACTGCAGGAGCAGTTTGAACTGCAAGGTCAGTGGTTCCAACCTACCAGCCGCTCCTCGGAAACCCTGTGCAGGGCTGCTATGAGTCAGAACTGACTTGACAGCACTTAACAACAACTGTTACTTCAGCTGTGTTGTCAACACTCTCGAGTATTTCTAGTTCTAACATGGTGTGGTGCTGTAGGATCAGCACTGGACTGTGAACCACACAGTTAGCAGTTCAAATCCACCAGCTGCTCCTCAAAAACCTTCTACACGGGGTCGCTATGAGTAGCACTTAACAACTACCACCACCACCATGGAACAGAAAGCTTGCTGCCCCGTGTGGAGTGTTCTAGAGGCTGACCTGTAGGTGACACTTCCATGGCCCAAGCACAGTGCTCCGAGCAGTAGAGATGTGTAAGGGAAGCGAAGGTACATGCTTTAAACACTGGTCAAAGCCAGAGATTACAAAATGGGCTGCATCCATTTAGTTTGGTTTGGAACATTTCTAATTTTGAATTTGGATTTGTCTTTAGAAAGGACTCGCATCCTGCATCTGCAGTTTGCCACAGGCCTCAGCAGCCCCTTGTTTTACTCCTGTGCTTCACTCTTGTGTTACCTGAGTGTGTCTTGACATGCTGACAGTGTTTTGAGGTATTTGTGTGGTGGAGTGCAAGCTGCCGATTAGAAACCACTGAAACTACTCCCAAAGCAATGGGGATTTTTTGTATTTTGTGTCCTCTCCTTCCCTGTTTGTTCTAGGAGGTGAAGTGAAGAAAGTGCCAGAGGTAGAGGAGCTGGGGGCAGGTCAGCTCTGAGGTCTGCAGCTTCCCACGGAGCTGGGAGCTAGCTGGGTGTAGGGTGAAGCTGACCAAATGTCTCTGCCATTTGACGGTCCTGATGCCCATCCAAATCCTAGAGTAGCAGGGACTCAGTGTAAATTCTCAGGAGAAGAGAATGAAAATGCTGATTTCTTTTCTTCCAGAATAGTAAGAAGACATCAGGAATAGAGGAGAGTCAGCAATTGAAGGTCTCTTTGGATTGAAATCTTAACTGGCTTCCTCTAGTCCCTATTTCTCTGTCCAGTCAACACAAGAGCCCACTTCTCTCATCCTCCTTAGAGTAGGATGTGTGGTCATAGTTGTAGGGATTTGTACCTCCTCTGTGAGTCAGATGACTTGTCCTAGGTCCAAGAAGTGCAAGCACTTTTGCATGATACCTCTTATTTTGAAGGAGTCCCTGAGTAACACAAACAGTTAAGCACTAAGCTACTAACTGAAGGGTTGGTAGTTCAAACCCACCCAGAGGCATCTTAGAAGAACATCCTCACAATCTACTTCTGAAAAGTCAGCCATTGAAAACCCCACAGAGCACAATCTATTCTGACACACTCAGGGTCACCATGAGTTGGAGTGGACTCTATAGTGACTGGTTTGTTTTTTTATGGGAAGAATTTTTTTCAGTCTCCAGATTGCCCTGTCACCCTGTTTTCAAAAACACAATCCTAAGGTGAACAAGCACATTAGGGGCTATGGGACCCCAGACTTCAGAAACACAGCTTTCCTCATTCCTGTCCAGTGTCAACAAGACCGAAAATCCTCTCCATCTCCCATCCATCTGTTGGGGCAGGATGGGAGAGTCATGCAGACTTCTAGAGGCCCAGCCTCCAAGGAGGCCTTCAAGCCTTTACAGCACTGCAGCCTCAGGCTGTGGAATCCATGGATGCCGCGCTCTGCTTTCTGCCTTCAAACGAAGTGCCATCGTTTGTTACTTTCTTGACAATCTTGTGCCAAGGTCTCCCATCACAAGAGGTGGGATGGTGCTGTCTCCCCACCTTTAAGGATGCCTTGGAGTAATTCTTTTCATCATTTATTTTTTTATCAATTATTATTGCCAACAGCCTCTTCTGTTCCTAAGCCCCAAGTTTTCTCCCAAGGCAAGCCCTCTGGCCTGTGACTCATTTTTTTTCTCTTTTCTCACCCCCTTTTGTTGGCTAGTGGGAACCTGGATAAACAGACAGGTAAAGGTAGCACCGCCCTGCATTACTGTTGCCTAACTGACAACGCTGAGTGCCTGAAACTCCTGCTCCGGGGGAAGGCTTCCATTGAAATAGGTAAGCTGGTGATCAGGTTTGGGTCTGGTCCTGCAAATGTATGTCTGCCTCCTCTCTGAACCTCCTAACACTGTGGGCTCCTGTCAGAGTGGAACAGAAACCAAACGGCTTCAGAAGAGTAAAGACTGCTTGTACTTTCAAGTTTGTATGAGCAGTGTTCATTGTTGTTTCTTTGACTTCATATGCATTTGCAGGTATTTAATGGTTTATAATGAAAGCAGTTTTTATTATGAGATTGGCACAGGACTAGGGAGTGTCTGTTCTATTGTGCATGAGATTGGTATGAGTCGGTACCAACAGCAACAGTGAAAGTAAAGAACATGCCCTGCAGCTATCAGTGATAATTGAAGTCAGTCTGGACAGCTTTTGGGGAGAATTTGAGTTTCTGCTCATGAATTTATAAACCTTACTTACCGCCACCTACGATTAGATTTACCCTACAACCCTACCCAACTCTTGAGTGTAGGTTTACCTGTGGGCGATAGGATTGGGGCTCTTCTCCTTTCATTGACCTGGTTCTTGTTTGGCCTTCATCTCTCCCCTCTGCCATGGGACCCCGTGCATACAGACAGATATGGGTCGAAACCGACTCGACGGCACTTAACAACAACAACAAGAAGTACTTTGCTTTTAGGGTATCCCATTATTATTTCATGAGGGAAGTACTTTTGAATAAATATTGAACACAAAGAGAAGAGAGTAGCAAAAGAGCACATACCTACTTGAGAACCAAGTTCCTTTTTTCTTTGAATCAATAATCAAACCTAACTGGGACTTATTTAGAAGAAAGTACAAATGTTCAAATTTTTACAGACTTCTTAAAAGAAGATATAAACGTTTAATAAGTTCCCATGTATGTAACTAGATGGACAATAGTTTTGGCTAAGAGATTTGTATTGACCAGCTTTATTCACTTGGCTTATAGTCTAGATATTGATTTTAATTAGTTGACTACTTGAACAATTTTATTTTCTGGATTTGCTCAAGCTTGTAAACTAACTGTAGTATTGTATGTACTCTGTAGTTCTTACCTCCCTATATAATGAGGATAAAAATTTAGGCCTGGCTGGGGCTAACCAACTGTGGGTTTCATTAATTGCACTGAATTTAGTGCTTCTTTACTCTATTTTTTGAATTGCCTGTAGATCTCAGCACTTTGTGTATCTTTGCTGTAATGCTCTTCTTTCCTGGCCTTTGACTTTCAGCTAATGAATCAGGAGAGACACCACTGGACATTGCCAAGCGCCTCAAACATGAGCACTGTGAGGAGCTGGTGAGTCTCCACACGGGCAGGGTAAGGGGCTGGGGAGTGTCACTAAGCAGACTGTAGTGTCCAGATAGATTAGCTAAGAACTGGGCCTTCTTGGAGATGGTATATTGGGCTAGTCTGTATAGAAGTGGTGACCACCCCCACCTTGTGGTGAGAATTGGAACATATGCCAGTGTGTGTTGGTTGGACATGTTGGTTCTGGCATTGGCATTGTTGGGACAACTGGAGCAGAGTCACAGAGGTCTGACACAGCTTGGCTGGTAGCCCATTACTGGACAACCCTTTCTTTCTTTGTCCTCCAAAGCAATTGAGTTGCTCTGTACATTTTCTTTTCCTGTTCTGGAAGAAGAGGCCATATAAATAGTTGAAAGAGCTTCTGGGAGCTGGGTTTGCAGTGGGCTCCCACCACTGTGATCTGGAAGTCTGTCAGACTGTTTTCTGGTTTGTAAAATGGAGTTTGTTTTACCAGATTGCAGGGTGGTTGTGAGAATTATTGTTGAACCCTGTAAAGCAGTTGGCACCTAGTAAGCTCACAGTACATAGAATTATTATGTGCAATATAACTATGGGAAGCGCAGGTGGTGCTGTAGGATATAGGGTAAGCACTGGACTGCTAACTGCACGATTGGCAGTTCAAACCCACCAGCTACACCTTGGGGGGAAAGATGCGGCTTTCTACTCCCATAACGATTTACAGTCTCCAAAACCCTATACAGGATCATAATTAGTTGGAACCAATTCAACCAATTACCTATCTGTCCAGATACTGTATTGTTAATTTTATATCTATTAACTCACTTAATGGCAGATAACTATCTTATAAGGTGATGTGTACTATTATCCCCATTTTACAAGTGTGGGGAAGCAAGCACAGAAAAGTTAACTTACCCAAGTTTATAAAGCTACAATGTGGCTATGGGGAGAATTAAGCCCTACTGTCTTAAGACATCCGTTGTATGTAATGAATTAACTTCTCTCATATATATCTCGAACGTATATGAGAAAAGTTCCTTGGGAGGATTAAAAATATAATTGATAAAATCATCTTCTACAGCACTTAATTCTCTCCAGTTGTTTGAGAAAGGCCGAGTTAACAGTTGGTGAAAACAGTCATTCCTCTAGTAGTATTTTAATACCTTCAGGAGCTCTGGTAGCGTAATGGTTATGAATCAGGCTGCGAACTGCAAGGTCAGCAGTTCGAAACTACCAGCTGTTCCATGGGAGAAAGATGAGGCTTTCTGCTCCCATAAAGATTTACAGCTTCGGAAACCCTGTGCCAGGGTAGCTATGAATTGGAACCGACTCCATGGCACTTAATAGCATCAGCAGGAGTTGGTTCAATGGTTTCAACATGAGGGCAAATCTTCATAACATTAAAGGGAAGTAGGAGTTACCTGTCTGTTAGAGAGTAGTTCTGATGAATCTTGGTAATCCTGTGACTGTTCTGTGCCTTCCGAGCCAATTCCCTGCCCTTGTGCACTGCCCTGTCTGCTCTCTGTTTCATGTGCCTGAGTACAGGAGCAGCCTCACTGACAACCCCTTTATTCTTCTCAGCTCACTCAAGCCTTATCCGGAAGGTTTAATTCTCATGTTCACGTGGAATACGAATGGCGATTGCTCCATGAAGATCTGGATGAGAGTGACGATGATGTGGATGAGAAATTGCAGGTTTGTGCCAGACTGCAGAATTTGAAAAGGCCTTTGATAAGCTTCATTCAGAGCATTGTGTATCCTAGCCTATAATTACGGCAGAAAGCTGTTTTGTAGAAAAGGGAGGTGCGGTTCACTTTGTATTTTCATTCGTCTCAGTAGGTTTTGTTCATACCCTTTCCATTACTACCTCCTGTCTCTCAGCTTCTACACACATTCATTTAAAGGGATGATTAATTTTATAATTATAGGCAGCTGCTTACTTTTTTATGTGAAGGGAGGACCCCTGATTATAGTGGTTCCTTGGAGAAAGCTCATTCACTGTGGAAAAAAGTTACAAAGAGCTGGCCTTTTTCCCCAGTGTTGTAGCTTGTGTTCACCTGGCTAATGGTGTGTGCACCTGTGTCATCTTACAAACTTCAACTGAAATCAGTGAATGACCCTAGCAGCACAATCTCCATCCTGTATCTAATGAGGAAATTGATTTGACCGAAGTGAAGCGACTAATCAGAGATAGACTTGGGCCTAGAATTGGGTGTCTTTGCCTCCTTCCTGATCACAGCATACTCAATTGAAGCCACACATATCAGAGCTGAGGTTTAAACTCAAGCATATTGATTCCAAAGCCCAAACTCATACCTACTACCTGTTCCATCTCCTTTTTAGCAGACAGAGTATGACTAGATATGCCTGAAAGATGTTCCATGTTGAAATTAGTGGGAAATGCCATGTGAAACACATTAAGTGGTTTCAGTATTTTTATTCTAAAATTAAATTTTTAAAAGTTTATGCAGGATTTATGAAGGCTTTTAATATTGAGGATGCCTGGTGATGTATATGGCATGTCCAAACCTTATTGGACTATTAAAGTTCTTTATTTATTGAACACTTATGAACAGTTGCACGTAATGTTTCTTGGAATATAAACTTAGAATTGAGCTGCGTTGGATACACAGACAGTGTCAGTGTAAGAACTGCTTAATTACATGTGTAAAGCCTGTTGCCACTGAGTCAGTTTCAACTCATAGCAACCCTGTAGGATAGAGAGAACTTCCCCATGGCGTTTCCAAGACTATAATCTTTCCGGGAGCAGATGATCATCTGTCAAGCACTAGGTGGGTTTGAACCATTAGCTTTTTGGTTAGCAGCTGAGCATTTAACCATGGAACCACTAGAGCTCCTTCAATTAAAGCTGATGTTAGTAAGCTCATACTTAAAGGATCAGATTTTGTAAATATTTTAGGTGTGTGGACTTAAAACAGCCCAGTTTTTGTTGCATCTCCTCAACTCTGACTAGGCATGGCTGTGTTTGAAGAAAACTTTATTTACAAAAACAGGTGGCAGCTACAGTTCAAATGTTAAGTTTGTCATTGAAGTTTGTAGGTGATTTGCAGGAATCTCCAAAGTTCCAGTTCATATGGGAGGAAGAGTGATTTCATCTGAAGTTGCCATGTCCCTGATGGGGATAGCAGCTGGGTGACCAGAGCCAGCTATACTATTACATGATCTAAGAAAGCATACTTATGAGGAGGAAGTGCGGAGCTAGGTTGAGATCAGTGTTGCTAAGAAGATGAAACAATTTTATTTTAAAATCCTTCAGAGAAAGAAGAACTTGTAAATCTGAGTGTGTGTGTTGCATGATGTAATCAAGATGCATGTCAAAAGTGAGTTTTAAAATCTTGCAGCTCTCCTGCAACACTTATGAATGCACAGTGGTATAACTGTGTAACTAGAAATTATCTACATGAGGCTTTACCACTACAATGAAAGTTATAACCAACTCACACACCTCTGATCCAACATTCCTTCAACAGCCTAGTCCCAATCGGCGAGAAGATCGGCCTGTCAGTTTCTATCAGCTGGGATCTAACCAGCTTCAGTCTAATACTGCGTGTTTGGCCAGAGATGCTGCAAACCTTGCCAAGGACAAGCAGAGGGGTTTTGTGCCTAGCATCTTGCAGAATGAGACGTATGGAGCCATCCTGAGCGGCAGCCCACCATCCAGCCAGCCTGCACCCTCTAGCACCACCAGTGCCCCCCCACTCCCGCCACGGAATGTTGGCAAAGGTACTAAACTGCTGTTAGGAGTTCCCTGCGAATGTCTAAAGGGTTTGGTTTTGTTTTCACTTTGTGAAGTTTGTGGTTGCTCTGCCCCCAACTAGATGACAGTAGTAGGATGTTTCTCTTTCTTTTGGGATCTTTTTGTTAGTTCCTCCTTGCTTCTCAAAGAAATTCCATGAGCCTTAAAATACCAAATAATGGTCAAGTATCTTGATTTTAGAGGTGTTACATCCACATGATTTATGTAATACAAGGTCTCTCCACCAGAACAGGCGCTGTCTGAAGGGGGGAAGCACCTGTTATGAAACGGTCCTGTGAGATATTTTCTGTGGACGTCCTTTCTGTTCCTTTTCTCTGTAACTTTCTCCACTTCCCACCCTCCCTTTGTGTTTAATCTCTCCTTTGTTAATTCTCCCCGGTTTGCACTCTCTGTCAGCTCATGGTACTTGAATTTATTTCTTACCTTTGTAAGGATAAGCACCGGACTGCTAACCATAACGTCTTTGAACCCACCAACTGCTCCTTAGAAACCCCATACAGGGTCACTGTGAGTCAGAACTGACTAGACAGCACTTAGCAACAACAGGATCCCCACAAAATCAAGGATAAAAAGATAGTCAAATAGTGTTCAGTCTAGTTAGAAAAGTACAAAATCATTTCTGTGGGTACTACTAATACCTTCAGTGCACAAAGTTGATATATTACAGCGTAGAAAGTTTGGCTCAACAAGTGATTTTTTGTTTGTTTTTATATAAAAGGAAACTTCAGTTGCCAACAGTTGAGTAATTTTCCCAACACTAAAAGTCAGCTGGCCACTAAGCTCTTTGAATGTAGGTTCAATGAGTGACTGACTCAACTCTTCACTCGGAAGTAACTATCAGGGCCGCCAGTGATGGTCCAGTGGCCTCCAGAGAGTTTCCCATTGAAGAATGAAATGGTGTGTTGTGAGGGAAGGTGTACAGAAGGTACCCAGGTGCTGTGGCTGCTCTGAGCTGCTAATTTCAGTGGAGTCTACATCAGAAAAGAAGTACCCAGATGTGTTTACTTAGTAGCTAGTATCCTGGGAAGGATGTAGTGTAGGGGAGAGTGAGTGGCTAGAAGACCTGATTTGAAGAGCTCAGTAGACTGGCTGTGTGTAGTTGCTCTGGGTTTGTGCACTCAGCAGTGTTGCTGGATGCACTGCAGACCCTCCCATATAGTTCTGCCGCCATCACTCAGACAGGCCCAGGGACGTGTTGCTGAATCTGCTGTCAGGATCACTGAGTCTTACCCTCCGGAGCAAACCCATTGTATAAGAGGCACTACACTAGGCAGGCTCCCGAAACAAACAAGCTCCTCTCACCTTGTCCCATCCCTTCCACACTACCCAGCCAACGTGATCCCCATGCCCTAGACAGTGCCCCACAAACTCAGCTTAGATGAGGAGTCCCTGAACAATGACAGAAGCTACAATTCACACAGCCTCCCTCTCTTACCTGTGACCCCTCACCAGGTAGCATGGAGGGGCCCAGGGCAGGGCAGTCAAGTTGTGGTTGCTTCCTTCTGCCCTCCTTCCACATCCCTTGTACATGTTTTCATTTTGTAGTCCCAGATTTAAAAGTCCCTTTAGTGGCTGTTACTGACTGTATGTGTCATGTGAGGAAAGATTTTATTTACTCAATTGGATTGTAGTAAAGAAATAGTAGCTTCTTCATCTTTATTTCTGGCTTTCCTAGTCTTAGAATTAGATGGTTTTGTTTCTTTTTGACATTTTTCTCTATAGCTTCATTTCTGCTTTGGATGAAGCACCTGCTATTCACTCCTGTAGGTGTCCCCTTGTTCTCCGTCTACTCCACATTGGGTCTAAGATGGAATTCCCACAAAACAGAGAGTGTCGCAGAGGGGAACGGGGCAGACTTGTTAACCGCAGGGCAGTGCAAAGGCTTTTGGAGCATGTGACGTGTCCCTGGAGGGTGTGGTTCATGTTCATTCCCAGGCCCTCCTTGTATGGACCATGCCCAGCCCAGCCCAGGGGCTCACCAGACTCTGTGCCCCTGAGTTGACGTCACTCCGTGAGGAAGATTTGTGAGCCAGAGGAAAAGCGGTGGCGAGAAATGCCATCACCTTCTTTGGGGGCCACCTGGTCTGACTATATTTGCAAGATATTTGTAGAGAGGGTCTAACCTTACTGCCTTTGATTTACACCTTCCTCTCCACCCACTCTGAGAACAGGATGCTTGCCTTTGAATGGCAGCTACTCTCAAGCTCGTGGAGAATAACTCCATAGAAGGATAGAGATGAGCTGAAGTTCCATAAGTCCCAGTTGCAAGCAATATTTGCATTTGAGAAATGAAATTAGGAATTTAAAAAAAAATTCTGCATTAATGTCAAGAAAGGTAGCTGGGAATTTTTTTTCTGGTTTGGTATATATATCAGAATCTATCTTCCCAGATATACAAGACGAATGAAAAAAAAAATTCACCCATATATTTGCTCTCTCTGTGCTGTTCTAGAAGGGTCATGCTATCCATTTTGTAAGGGAGAGGGTCAATAATACAGTATTCTGTTTCTGTTTTTGTTGTGTGCATGTGCGTGTGCATGTGTGTGCTTGGGTATAGTTCAGACAGCCTCCTCGGCTAGCACCCTGTGGAAGACAAACTCTGTAAGTGTGGACGGTGTAAGCAGGCAGCGATCTTCGTCAGATCCGCCAGCTGTCCATCCACCGCTGCCCCCTCTTCGCGTGACATCTACCAGTACGTTTTTTTGTGTTTTTTTTTTTTTCCTTTTTCCTTTCTTGCCAGTGGGCTTTAGATCTGGATGGCAGGGGGGTGCTGTCAGCAGCCAGCGCTGCAGAGCCACTCACTGCGCCAGCAGCACACACAGGGGCCTTGCACGGTGCTGCCAATTACCGCTCTTCCATGGGGCCTGCATGGCTCTGCTCAGCCACAAACTCCTATCTGTATCCAGCTCCGGAGATGGCTCACCACGCGCTTCCTCTGTCCTCCAAAGCATTCTAGCAACAATTTCTCCTCTCACATATTAGTCTGTGGCATCAGTTTTCTGTAGCCATTTGGTGGTTTTCAATATATTTCTTCAATGTCAACATGTGGTTGGAAGTCACCAAAAATTAGGAGAGGGGACGTTGTAAGAAGAGGCCACCATGCAGAGCTAGTGAGGTTGATCTTGCACCAGATCAGTAAGGTTGCCCTGTCTTTCCTGCTCTACATCAGCTGCACGATGAAGCAGTCGTTCCCGAGTCTCTGAGGGCATTTAGAATAAGTGCTAGGCCAAGGTGTTTGAGAACACACACTGACTTCATTCAAATAAATTTAAAAGTCCAGCACAAGCTCCAGGAAGTACCATTGTGTATTAACTGGCCCTTACAGTCATGTCAGTACCTTGCTTCCCTGGGATGATAACAGAGCTTCAGACAGTGTGTGAAGGGGAGACGGGTCTCCAGAGGTGGGAGGTGAGCATCTGAAGATGTAAAATAGTCACACAGCTAGCACACTAGGAGCCCTCACAGTAGCTTTCCATACTGCAGCAGACTGCCACTTTAGCCAGGAAAATAGGGTCATGTTAGATACTTAAAGAGTTTGCTAGAGAGGTTGGGAGGAAAAGATGCCTGGGTTCAAGATCTAGCTCTGTTTCTCACTATATAACCTTAGAATCATGTGGAATCACATCACCTCTTTAAGCCTTAGCTTCATCATCTGTCAAATGTAAAGAACAATAAAACTCTTCCTCTGGCTCTCCTCATAAATTGTGAAGCCTTATGCAAAACTAGCTCACTGTTTTTCCTCGGATCTGGCCACATTCAACAGCCTGGAGAAGTAGATAGGACACCGTACCCTATTGGTCAGCTGAGGGAAAAGAAAAGTTTTGTCCCAAGTAGACACAGTTAATTCCCCAGGGGGCAGAAACAATGTTAGCTTCAAATTCTAGCGGAGAAAAATACATAAAAACCAGTAGAAAACTTTCAATCATAGTTTTAGGCTTGCCGGCTTCCTTATTAGTTTGGAAAGGACTTTCTCCACCATACCCACTGTTTTCTGAAAATCAGTGAAACAGTTGGGGGTTTTCTCTGTAGGAAATGTCAGTAGACAAAAGGAAGATCATATCTGAAAAATCTCAGGTGAGAAGTCTCAGAGGTAGAAAGCCTTGAAGTCTGACCCTCTGTGTTTCTCTTTCTCTCTACAGATTCCCTGACTCCCACACCACCCCCTCCAGTAGCTAAGACACCCAGTGTGATAGAAGCTTTGAACCAGCAGATCAAGCCAGCCCAGCCTGGGATCCCACAGTGCAAATCCACACCCCCACCTCTGCCACCCCAGCCACCAAGCCGCCTCCCACAGAAGAAGCCAATTCCTGGGTAACCCTTCCTCTCTACTGTCCATCGACTGAGGGCCTGCTACAAGCTGCCTTGCTTGCTGCTCACATTAAAGGAATTTCCAAAGTGCCAGTGGCCCCAGTTTAACTCATCTGCATTTGAAATCTTCAGTGTTTCTGCTGTAACATGTGAGACTAAGAGTTACATACCGAATTCATCAGGGATCAAGGGTCATAAAATTAATTCATCAAGGAAGTTTTTCATTGTTAAAAATGCTTACATACATATTTTATACCGACAGAATGCACACGGAGGCCCTCTGCAGTGTGGGGCCTCTCTCTCCTTCACAAGCACAATTGTTGTTGTTGTTGTTAGGTGCCATTGAGTCAGTACCCACTCATAGCGACCCTATGCATAGCATAACGAAACATTGCCCGATCATGGGCCAACCTCACTGTTGTTGCCACACTTCATAAGCACAATACAACCAGCAAAATCGGTACGTTAAAACTGATGCATTACTACCATTTACCTAATCCTCCGATTCTAATCCAAGCTTTGCTACTTGTCCAAATAATGACCTTTACAGCAAAAGGATACAATTCATTGCTCTTAATCTGCATCTTTATAGTGGAAATGATGTATAGAAACCAAGCTATAGATGCTAGGTTTGCTTGTTGCTATTGGAATGTCACTGCTCCCAGGCCCTCTAGTGGTTGGAACTGGGGAATACACATACAGTGCATGCATTGCTGTTAGGCGCCATTGAGTCAGTACTGACTCATAGAGAGACCCTTGTGCACAACAGAACGAAACATTGCCCAGTCCTGGGCCAACCTCACAATTGTTGCCATGCTTGAGCCCATTGATGCTGCCACTTTGCCAATCCATCTTGCTGGGGGTCTTCTCATTTTCTCTGACCCTCCACCTTACCAAACATGATATCCTTCTCCAGTGACTGGTCCCTCCTGACAATAAGTCCAAGTATGAGAGACGAAGTTTGGCCATCTTGGCCTCCAAGGAACACTCTGGCTGCACTTCTTTCAACACAGATCTGTTGGTTCTTCTGGCAGCCTGTGGCACTTTCAGTATTCTCCTCCAACACCATAACTCAAAAGCATCAGTTCTTCTACAGTCTTCCATGTGCTCATTTGTCTTTTTATTTCTACATACATCTGTATGTATGCAACTGTGCAACTATGAATTCACACTGATAATCACCAATTTTACACCAACTAGAACAATTAAAATTGGAGATATTAGTGTGGGTCTAGTAATAAATAGGATCACTAATGGTGCTGTAGGATAAGCACTGGACTGCTAACTACCAGGCAGGAAGTTCAAGTGCACCAGCCATTCTACATGAGAAAGATGAGGCCTTCTGCTCCATAAAGACTTACAGTGTCAGAAACTGTGTGTTGTGAAGTGCTGTCGAGTCAGTTCTAACTCATAGCAACCCTTATAGGGATTCTGAGGAGCAACTGGTAGGTTTGAGCTGCCCGCCTTGTGGTCCAAAGTTCAGTGCTGATCTTACAGTGCCACACAGGTTGCTGTGAGTCAGAACCAACTCGATGGCACCCAACAACAACAACAGTAACAAATCAAGGAGCTCTGATGGTATAACTGCTGCTGATGAAAGACTGGCAGTTTGAACCCACCGGTCACTCCTGGGGAGAAAGACCTGGCGATCTACGTTCATAAAGGGTACAAACTGGGAAGCTCTATGGGCAAGTCCTCCTCTGTCACTTTGAGTTGAAATCAACTTAACAGCACCTAGCAGTAACAAACCACTCAAAATTTACTGGTATATGTTTACAGACTCTATTAGGGATTTGAATAGGTGCCATAGGGATAGCTTGTTTGAGCTCTACTCTCTGGGGCCTTAGCTGAAAAGACTCAAAAGCTAGGGGTGAGTCAATGCAGGAAGTGACTTGTCCACTCAGAGGGCTAGTATCCCCTTCACTCTGCTTGTCTGGTGGTTGTGATGGTTGATTGTGGTGGTCTCTCCATAGGACTTGGGCTTCCTCACATCATGGTGGGTGGGTCCAAGAGTAAATCCCAAAAACTAGGCCTGGTCCTGAAACTGCACAGCATCACCGCCATCCTATGTTGTTGGTCAAGCAGTGACAGAGCCCTGATTCAGGCTGGGGGGCGGGGGGGGGCGCAGGGTCTGGAGAGTGGCACAGTGTAGTCATAGACTCCACATCTCAATGGGAAGAGTATCAGAAAACTTAGGACATTGTTGTAAAATCACCACAACAATCTAGCGCCGGAGGAATTCCCTCTTTTCTGTATTTCTCATTTTCTTCTCTAATGAGAAATCTGGCTTTCTCATTTTCTTACTTGATCAATACCCTTTATGAAACCAAATCTCCCATCTCTTCCTCCATCTCCTCCTCTTTGACAAAAGCCTTCCTTTCCCTACCTGAGTTCTAGTCCTATTCCAGGACTCCCGTTTGGACGCCCTCTTCCCCTTGCTCTGCCTCTGACCCCCTGAGTATAAGTCTATTTTCATCTATGTTACCGGATAGATGAGAGGCCCTTTAAGATAGAAACTGCATTCTGCAATTCTGAGAAATGTCACTGACCTTTTATAATGCCTTAACTTCTCCCTGTTTTTCTGTTCTCTCTTTACATGTAATTCTTCTCAGTCAGATGTCAGATCCCCTTGCCCTTTCTTCTAAATGTAGCATCTTTTTACTAGGGTGCTCAAACTGCTGTAACAGACCAGCCTAGATCTCAGTAGTTTAGCATACAGAAGTTTAGTGTGCATGTTCTTGATTGCGCAGAGTTCTAAGGACTGACTCAGAGACCCAGACCCCCTGTACCTCTGTCTTCACCATCTTTATCCGCTGGGTCTAGGGTTACTTCCGAAAGGAGAGCTTGTGGGGAGGACATGCCGCACGCTTCACCTCATTGTCCTGCCATTGAATCAATTCTGACTCATAGTGGCCCCAAGTGTTTCAGAATAGAACTGCTGGTGGCATAGTGAGTTCCACATTGGGCTGGTAACCACACAGTCAGCAGTTCAAATCCATCAGCTTCTTTGCAGGAGAAAGAGGAGGCTTTCTGCTTCTATAAAGATGTATAGCTCTGGAAACCCTCCATAGGGTTACTGTGAGTCAGAATCTGTTCAATGACAGTGGGTTTGGCCTTGGTTTTTGGTTGGATGTGATGAATGGCAGCGTATCAGGCCTTCTTTCCACTGCACTGCTAAGTGGATTTAACCTACCAACCTTTTGGGTCAGTAGCAGAGAGCAAATAATTTGTGCTGCCTGCAGAGCTACCTGGAGGCCAAACCAAAAATCCAAACCCACTGCTGTCAAGTCAGTTCCGACTCATAACAACCCTGTTGGGCAGAGTGGAAGTGCTCCCAAAGATTTCTGAGTCTGTGGCTCATTACGGAAGCAAACATCATTTCCCACTGGAGCAACTGGTGTGTTTAAACTGCCAACCTTGCAGTTAACAGCCTGGTGCTTAATACACTGTGCCACCAGGGCTCCTGACCTGGAAATGCAGCCAGGGGACTGAACAACTGCTTCCCTGAAACAGCTCTGCTCTTTCCTAGCTGTGTTGTTATTGTTAAATGTTGCCAAGTCAATTTCACCTCACAGCGATCTTGTCTAGGCCTTCTGAGGAGTGGCTGGTGGGTTTGAACCGCCGACCTTGCTATTGAAACTAACCTTACGGGGCCTTATCCTGCACACCAGGACTCCTACTAGCTATGTGACCATGGTAAAATTGTCATCTCTCTCAGCCTCATCATCTGTAAAATGTGGTGGTGGTGGTGTGCCGTGGAATTGGTTCCGACTCATAGCAACCCTGTAAAGAGTTTCTGAGGCTGTAAGTCTTTGTGGGAGCAAAAAGCCTCATCTTTCTCCCATGGAACCGCTGGTAGTTTCGAACTACTGACCTTTAGATTAGCAGCCCAACTTGTAACCACTACGCTACCAGAGCTGCTCTTGTAAAATGTTGTTGTTGTTAAGTGCCATCGAGTCAGTTCCGACCCATAGCAACACTGTATAGGGTTTCCAAGGAGCAACTGGTGAGCTTGAACTGCTGACCTTGCAGTTCAAATGGCTTTGCAGTCTGGCGCATTAACCCACAGTGCCACACCAGGACTCCTATAAAATGTAGATAGTGTTAAATTAACTCTTCACCAGGCCCACCTCATAGATATTGGCGCTTTGCACAAATTAGTCATTCACAATCTTCCCTTGGATCTGACCGTGCATTTTCATGAGCAGCTAGCCTTCTTAGCCACTTTTTAGTTTCCATTTGTGCTTTAGCTTTTTGTTTTTTATTTACTTTCCAGGAGATATTTTTCACTTTTATCTTTTTTTTTATTTATTGGGTTTTTCATATCTGCTGTCATAATGATTTTCAAGTACCATTTCTAGTTCTCTGTTAAGCGTTTGTATAGTATTTTTTCCTAAAATTAATATATTTGTTGTTGTTGTTGAGAATTGACACAGCAGAACATACACCAAACCAACAGTTCCTACATGTTCAACTGAGTGACGTTGATGACATTCTTCAAGTCCTGCAATTGCTCTCACCCTCCTTCTGTTGTCCCTTTGAGCCCATCCAGATAGCTCTGAAAAAGCAGACTTTTTGTTACTATTAAGTTATTGTTCACTTTTAAAATGATTTCAGGAGATATTTTTGATTTACAGATTTAAAGATTATCTCAGGGTTTGTCTTCCCTCCATGACAGTCAAGAGTCCATGAGAATTTGAAATTCTATTCTGCATTTCCCCCCTTTTAATCTATGGAATCTTTGATAAAAATGTTCATTAATGGTAGCCAGCACCATCCAGTTCTGCTAACCTCATGGCCAAAGAGACAATTGTTCATGGAGGCAATTAACATGCATTCCTTATCCTCCTCCTTTTCCTGACTCTCCTCCGTCTTCTGTTGCTACAGGTGAATGGAGACCAATTGTGTGTCTTCTTAGTCTTATCTCTCTGAGAATGTATGTTAAGGAATGTTAACGATGTTTTTGTGGGGATTTGCTTTGTTTTGTTTTTGTCTTTCTGCACAATTAGTCTCTTTCATGCTGCTTTTTTCCTTGTTTGGACCTTGTTGTAGTGGAAGCTTTCCCTACAAATCTATTTCATGCCTCTATGCTCCTGTCTCAGGTGGGGTATTATGCTCATGGACCAACTGCACCCTCATGTGCAGAGCTGCCAAAATGGTCTTCACTGTCAGGTGAACTGACTGGGCTGTTTCATTGGGCTCCTAGAATTTCATAAAGCTCAATCTTCTAGTCTCTTGTCTGAAAGTTGAAAGTTTTCTGGGAGTAAAGAAGTAAAGGTAAACTGTAACTTAGTCCCTGTGTTTTTAAGCTGCCCCAAGAATTGCACTTGGCATTCCCAGTCCAGTTTCTTTGTCTCTGTAAATGGAAGCCTTTGTCTTCAGTGGTATTGATGTAGAGCGGTTGCTAGGCTATTCAAGGACTCCAAAAATCCTTAAGCAGATTTTTGACTGACATCTCTGTTTTGGGCCTCTCATCTCCTGCTTCCAGAGGTTCTTGAGCCTTTTGGGATCTCTACAGGACAAATCGTAGGACTTCTAAACTTTCTTCTCTGCCTGCATAGTATTCTCTTTCCTCAGCCCAACTAGGATGATTACAGTTAATCCTTCTATTTTCAGCTTCCAAGTTTTGTTTTCTTTTCCAGCTGTTTGGGTTTAAACATTAAAAAATTATTTTCTTTGGGAGGAAGTGGAAGTAAATGTATTTCAATCTGCCATTTTAACCAGAAGACTCCAGAACATTTTTTAATGCAGTCTTGCAAGGTTTCTTTGTAAAACATAGCCTATACACATGTGTTTTCTTACTATTCTTGAACAGTGTATATGAAATACAGATGGCTTCAAAAAATTTGTGGGGAAAATGGAATGAAAAGATAATGGAATTTTGCCACGATCTTTTGAAGCCTCCTTGTATAATCAATTTTCAAGTTAGACTACAAATGTGCTCACAAGTGCCACTGAGAATTACTTGCTTCTACGTGAAATGGCCAGAACTTCTGGGCTGGTGCTGTGGGATCAGCACTGGACTGCAAACCACAAGGTTGGCAGTTCAAACCCACTAGCTGCTCCTCGAAAACCCTATACAGGGTCACTATGAGTTGGAACCAACTAGATAGCAGCAACAACAATATGAAATGGCCATAGGCTGTGCTTTTCTTAGTTTTTGCATTAGCATCTATGTCTTCTATTAGCTTTCTTCACTCTTCCCTTAATAACTCCCTTCTGATTTGCTCTTTCAAGCTATGGTTCTTTAAGGGACCAACTCATATGCTGAAGTTTTGGATGAGAACCAGTTGGCCCTCAGCAGTCATCAGATGGAAGCTCCAAGAATAGCAGGTGTTGGTGTGAGGTCTTGGAAACCATCTGGTGCTCTGAGGCCTCTTGTGCCACTTCTCTTATTCTCAGAAGAGTTCTAGCTAGAAGTTGCTTATGCGTTTCTTCACTAGTGTGGTCTTAACCAGGTTTAGATCAGACTGAAAGGAAAGGGGACTCTCCAACCCTGTCCATCACTTAGCCCCAGTTGTGAGCCTTGCTCTGTCTGGTCCATTAAGGTCCACCAAGGAACTTGGCTCCTCACAGATTACCTGTCACTTCTCTTCAGAATTGACAGAACTGTTGTTAACACGTTTCACAGATAAAAACGCCAACTCAGAAACTCGTTTATCCATACCTACCAAATAGCTAGTTCTGAGAACCAGCCCCCATAGTTGTGCTTCCATCGTCTGGCTTTGGTACACCCTGAGCCAGGAGGCTCACAGGTAGAGGTGGAGCCTGTGATCAGCCACCTAGGCTACAGGCAGCAGGCACATGATGGCCTTACTGGTGGGGCTCATACAGGACCAGGCAGTGTCCTCAGGACCCCAAAGTCAGGAGTCAACTCTGCCCATGGACACATGAAGAGACCAAGGCTCAGTGTGAGGAAGGGACTCAGCAGATTGGAGGCAGAGCCCAGGGCTAGTTTCTAGTCCCACAGCTAGACAAGCAGCGTCAGGTCCACGTGGACCAAGCTGTTTCAGGAAGAGCTCGGGATTTAGGACGTAACATTCTTCTTAGGGCTTCTCACGATCCTTTTTATAAAAGTGAAGTGGTTGAATTAGAATTGATGAAATTTGCTCACACATCTCTGACTTGGATACAGGTGGTCCTCTAGAAAAGAAGGTGAGGATGAAGCTGGTAGCATGCCCGTTAGGCTTCAGGTGTCAGTAAATGTATTTTTTCCCTTTTTGTAGGACTGACAAGTCGACCCCACTGATCAGCAAAGGTCAGCCGAGAGGACCTGGTAATTATTTCATTTAAAATTTTATTTAAAAAATAACTTTACATTATTTCTGCTTAGTCTGTGGGTAAAGAGGGTGATATTTCCAGCCAGGGGACTCAGCATGTTTCTGGGCCCAGCCTGAGAACACAGCAACATACATAAATACAATGACATCACAATGTCTCGGAGAAAACAGAGAATTTCATCTTACATGAAGAAACAAGACAGAGTGCCTCAAACAAATGACCAAAAATAGAGAGTCAGGAAATATTGTACCTGAAATGGTATCAGAACTACTTGGTAAAGAATTTAAAAGAATAATATTTAGGTACTTTCACCAGACTGGGAGAAAGATCAAGGAAAGCAAGGAGAACACAGAAAAAAACTTTTAGAAGAATTCAGGAAAACACTACAAGAACAAACTAATAAGATAAATGAAAAATTGGAAACCATACAAAAACAACAGTTAGAAAACCAGAAGATTAATACTAGGAATTGAGAAATAAATAATACATGAAAAGGGCAAAGAAGCAGTACTGAACCAACAGAAGGCTGAATTACTGAGTTTGAGGACAAATCTTTCAATATTCATCTGCCAGTGGGACATTCAGAAAAAAGAATGGAAAAATTCAAAGAAAGCCTAAGATTTATGTGGAACATAATCAAGAGGAATAACACATGTGAGATTGGAATTCTAGAACAGGAAGAGACAAAAAAAGAAAAAATTTTCTAAGAATTGTTAGACTTCCCTAACTTCATGAAAGATAAAAAGATAGTCATCCAAGAAGTTAAACTATAAATAGAATAGACTCCAAAAGAAAATCACCAAAACTTACCCTAACCAAAAATTTCAAAACCAAAGACAAGGGAAAAATCCTGAGAGCAGCTCAGGAAAAATGAAAAGTTATCTGTAAAGGAGAACTAATAAGACTAAGCTTTGATTTCTCAGTAGAAACCATGCAGGTAAGAAGACAGTGTGATGCTATATATAAAACTCTGAAAGAAAACAGAGGGAATAGAAGCAAATACTGTTTAATGATGATGCACGGAGATTGTAATCATTGCAATAAAACAATGAGTGTAAAACCGATGTTCTCCCATGTAAATATCACTCAATTCACAATAAAAACTTAATGGCTGCCATTATCTTAAAATTCCATTCCTCCCCCCCCCCCTATTAATTGTTGTTGATGTCTCATGGTTATGATTTATGGAGCATATTGTAAACTTGGTTCGTTTTGTCCCTAAAAGCTATGGATCTCTGTGGAACAGAATCTCTGGGCCCTCTGTCCAATACTGTGGCCATGCAACCACCAGCACCCATGCCCCGGAAGTCGCAGATAGTAAGTAGCACAGATCTTGACAGGTTCCTCCCAGTTCTTCCCCTTTACCCTTGTCAGGAGGGTATAGGTTTATTCACCATGGACTGAAATCAGAGAAAGCATGTTTCTCCCACTGGTTGTGGTTGTGGGGAAGGGGCTTCTACGTAGTTGTTTGGATCTGGGTGGGACATGCCAGATACCATCAGCTCACCAACATGGTCATCTAATCATTGCTCCCTGGACACACCCACCCCACATATGAGCCCAAACCCTGAAGCTTCATTTATATCTCTGTGCCCACATAAGACTGCTGAGATTTCCTTTTACTTTCTTTCCTGATTCATCCTTTTCCCTAGAAGTTTAGCTGGCGTCTGAGCCACACTGATGTGCCGCCCCTTGACTTCCTGTAGGTTTTCCAGGCCTTAGAAGTAAGGTGTTCAAGCCTTTTGCCATAATAACATTTGACTTCTCTCTTTTGACTCAGACAAAGTCAAAACCCAAACGGGTCAAAGCCCTTTATAACTGTGTGGCTGACAACCCTGACGAGCTGACTTTCTCTGAGGGAGATGTGATCGTTGTGGACGGGGAAGAAGATCAAGAGTGGTGGGTGAGTTTGGGTTGGGTCCCCGTGCCTACCTGGTCTGAGAGATGTGTTCACAATGTAGTACTGAGAGTACTGCTTTCCTGCCGTGCTGACTCCTGCCTGACCCTTAATGGCCACCACAGTGTCTCCTTCTCCATTTATATCCACTTTTCAGTGAGCCAGATCTTTCTTTCCATGTCGTGTTTGATTCCTCCCTCCTTGGGGTAGGTAGGCCGCTTGGGCTGCAGTTTTCAGAGCACATTGGTGGGGTCTAAAATGAGGCTCCTTACTACCCTTACCCCAGGGCTGGTTTAGTGGAATGAGAAGAGAAAGAGGGCTGACCTAGAGGCAGAATCCTCGAGTATCCGTCTAGGTTCTGAAAGTTGCCATGGGTTGGTGCTGTAGTGGAGCATGGAATTTCAAGCCTGATCATCTTAACCCAGACGCTGCCATTTCCAGGCTGTGACCTTGGGCAAGTTGTTCTTCTCTTTAGTCCTTGGCTGTGTCATCTATAAATAAGAGGCAGCCCACAGCATCTCTATAAAGATTGCGTGGACTCAGATGTACAGGAAGTACTACTAAAAGTAGCTGCTGAGGAGAGTAGAATTAAATAACTTGTATAGTGAAAAATACAGAAAGGCATAAAGAAAATAAATGCTGTTCATGATCTCAAAAACCCCACTCCAACCCTCCTGCCCCCCCCACCAAAAAAAATTTGTGTTAGTGATACTCTTTTAGAATTTTATTTGACTACAGATTTTACATTGTTGAACTCATACTCAGTATATAATTTACCCACAATGGAAATAAATGGATTTATTGAAAATGTCCATAAATGCTTGATTATATTTTTTAAAGGGCAAGTCACACCATTGCCACTTTCTGTGACTGTGCAGTTCACAAACTTTTCTAGAACTCAATTGCTTCATCCATTAATAAAAAAAACAAAGCTAAGTGGAGAGTGGTGGTGATAATGAAAGCTGTCCACCTGCCTCCCATGACTTAATTATGTTGGCTGGTCCAAATATCCTTTGGTGCAAACATCTTAAGACATCTCTGAGAAGAGACCCTTCCATATTGTAGGCATGTAGTATTTGAAAAATGAATTGAAAGGAAAAAAATGGTTGCTATGTTTTACCTAAAGTATTCTCAGAATAGATTCTTCTGAACAAAATTTTCTTTTTAACCAAATGCTGCAATGCCCTTTGAAGTTTACAACATTTAGGATTTTTATAACCCAACCTTTTATTCATTTCAGATTGGCCACATTGATGGAGATCCCAGTCGCAAAGGAGCATTTCCTGTATCATTTGTGCACTTTATTGCTGACTAAATTGCTACTGAACAAAAACATTCACTTTCAACAGTTATTTATATTCCTGTTTTATTACTGGTACCAAAATTCATGCCAGACCACCAGTTTCATGAACTATATTGTACTGTAGCCCACTTCCTTTATTGCCATTTTTCTGTTTTGAAACATCAAAGGCAATTTTTATATATAAATGAATTGTTTTTATGATTTGTGTTACTCATGAGATGTTGCTAAGCTTTTGTTAGGAACAACTGAATTTCCTAAAAGGTGAACTGGACAGTTAATTTATCTGCATAATCAAGACCCTGAATCCACAGATTCAGCTAAACCTAAAAATGTTTAAATCGAAGATTAGAAATAAATTGTCCCTACTTTTCTTGGCCTGATTCTGGAGTCATTGAACTTAAGAGCAATTACTAGTTTAGGTAGCCAGTAAACTGTCGCTTCAGAAGTCTGTAACCCAGGCCTGGATTTTCTAGAGATAATGCCATCGGTTCACCTTTAAAGGACCTGTATTCCTTTGAAACCACCCAATGTTTAAAGCAACTTGGAAATTTACACATTAGTGTTGTACTTTATAGCTCTAATCTGTGAGATTGCAATTATTATATTCTGCATGTGTGTATAACCTGTTATTGTGAACAGCCATATTCAACAAAACTGCTGATGGTTTAGTACAACATATGGTCATCGCAGTTAACTCAGTTCCAGGAAGAAGTTATCTAAAAACTGCATTTCCTGAATTTGGTTAAAAACTAAGGATGATGGATTGCAAAAACAGTTCTTTAAACTTTATATGCTTTAGGTGTTTTGGAATTTGCCTTCTTGATTCTCTAATTGCACAGAGAGCAACTGTACACAAGCTGACTGTGCAGACCATGCTGTTAACACATCCTAACTGCTGTTTCCTATTGAGTGTACCACTGCCTTCCCTTTCTAACACCTGAGAATGTTTACTTAACTTAATGTCTTGTACTTATATATCAGCAGAAATGGTAGTTACACTGTCTTGAAATTTAACCTGTCCATTTGTTTGTAATCAAGAGCATATCAGAAATCTGTAGGTCCCCAGTAATAAAATACTCTTAAGTATTCCAATTTTAATATTAAGCTCATCCTATCATTCTTAAAGTACTGGGGAGAAATTAGGTTGTATATGATAAAACAAAAATTCATTAGTTTAATGAACTTGACTGTCATACCTCTATTTAGTAATTGTATGATTGAGATTCATATGAATATTGGGGATTTTGGCACTTTCTAAAAATGGACATACCATGCCCACTTGGATTTTTACCAAAACTAAAGGAAAACTAAAGTATAGGCTTGGAAAGTGAAGCAACAATGCTACTACTGCATTTGTTATTGAAGTGCCATTTGATTGAAGCAGCCTGTCTTTATCATGCAAGACTCTCTCATAGGGTAGACTTCATTTGCTTTTTAAATTGCATTGAGTATTTTGTTATTAGAATAAAGAATACAGAACAAACTGGAATGTTATATGGTGTTATATGGCAGTTTTGCCCTTTGCCTTTCAGAGTTCCGGGTAAAAATGTATTAGATCTGTAATTACAGTCTTTTTTTTTTTTAAAGCACTACATCTATTTTCACTAATTGTTAATTCCCATTGTTTTAATAATTTCATTTAGTTTAATTCCTAGATTTAACAAAGTAAATAGATGTATTTTGCACAGTGCACTTCTTCTGTATATTTTTACACAATCTTCCAGCATCTGTATCAGCCTTTTGACCACCTGGTGCCAGCTACATAAGGAATTAAAGTTGATTCCTATCAACATTTGACTCCATTCATGCTAATCTATCAGGTTCACTGGTACATGAATATCTAGGAAATATTTTTCCAGTCTATAATTTGGTGGTGCTATTGTGCAGTAATTATTATTATTCTTTCCAGAAGAGAAATTATATATTAACTTCCCTGCTAATATCCTTTCCTAGGTATATGCTCTTTGCAAATTTAACACACACACGTATCACACACACACACACACACACACACACATCCCACACATACATTTAAAAAAAAAAACCAGAAAAACATTGTAGATATCTATTTATATTTAAAATTTACGTTTAATGAACTTCAGCTGCAAGATTCTGGCATCTTTTATGCCATTTCCATCAGATCTGACTTTAAGGGACTATGACTCAGAAATATGTGCACAGACTAACAGTTACTGTATTACTGTTAACAGTGGGTAGCATGATACGCAGCTTGTAATGCTATTTGAGATGTATGATATTCAGTTCATTCACTTGATTATTTTGGTCTAGTTGCAGCGCAACTGTATATATTGTATAACCTAAATCAATTCTTATTTTCATTGTCCTTAAATGCAGTGATTTATAATTAGAGCATGGTTAGTAGTTTACTCTCCTTGTTAACTAGTCATTTGACTGGGAAAAAATAAAACACTTTTAAATGGACACAATTTAATGGGTTTTTTTTAAATCTTTATAAAGTGTTATGTATTAAGATTGTCCTTCTTAAATACAATAAGGAGCTTGGAGAGCACAGAGATTAAGTACTTAGCTACTAACCCAAAGGTCAGTGGTTCAACTCTACCAGTGACTTCTGGGGAGAAAGATGTGGCAGACTGCTTCTTTAAAGATTGTTGTTGTTGTTAGGTGCCATCGAGTCGGTACTGACTCATAGCAACCTTATGCACAACAGGATGAAGCACTGCCCAGTTCTCGGCCAACCTCACAATTGTGCCACGGTTGAGCCCATTGATGCTACCACTTTGCCAATCCATCTCACTGGGGGTCTCCCTCTTTTTCTCTAACCCGCCACCTTACCAAACCTGATATCGTTCTCCAGTGACTGGTCCCTCCTCACAGTATGTCCGAAGTATGAAACATGAAATTTGGCCATCCTGGCCTCCAAGAAGCACTCTGGTTAGACTTCTTCCAACACAGATCTGTTGGTTCTTTTGGCAGCCCATGACACTTTAAATATTCTCCTCCAACACCATAACTAAAGGCATCAATTCTTCTACAGTCTTCCTTATTCACTATCAGCCTTGGAAACCCCATGTGGGAATTCTATTCTGTCCTATAGGGTCGTTATGAGCCAGAATCAACTTTTAGCATGAAGATAATCTCTGAAGGAGCCCTAGTGGCACAGTGAGGTTAGCATTGGACTGCCAACCTACCAGCAACACCCTGGGAGAAAGATGAAGCTGTCTGCTTCCATAAAGATATACAGTCTCTGGGAAGCCCTATGGAGTGGTTCTACCCTGCCCTCTAGGGCCACGAGGAGTCTTTAGACCCAGTGACAGTGGTTTTAACTCTGAGATAAAAATTGTGGCTTTACACATTATTTTGATAACACACTTTAAAATTTTTATTTCTTCTGTCAAGTTGGCTATCTCTGTTCCAAAACAGCATGAACTCCAGTTCCCAGTCTGAATTTTTTGACTGATTACAGCTCTAAACACAGTTCAGTGCTCAACTACTAGCTACAAGATTGCTGATTCAAACCCACCTAAAGGCAACTCAGAAGGCAGGCCTAGTGAGCTGCTTCCTAACAGCTTGAAAACTGTGGAGTTCTGCTCTGCACACATGAGATCACTACAAGTCAGAATCCATTCAGCAATAACTCAGAACAGAGCACCAAGTCAGAATGCTGCGTCAATGGGAAGCTGGCTACAGAGCAGATGGCATGCAACCTTTCTCCAGACATGTTCTAAATATTTATGATCCACTGAGTGGACTTTTATTACACTTCGGTGGTAAGCTTATTTCCATATAAAAGTGACAAGGTTTCTTTTTTCAATTCCAGAAAATAACTTCATTGAGCATTAACTCACTGTTTTAGAAGACACACTTTAATACTTAAAAAATGACCAATATTTTATACATTGCATTTTCTTCAGAAAATCCAGAACAAGGAGTCACTTGCACTAGTACCCACACTATTAACATTGCAGTCTGAAAGAGGAAGTATTTAGCAAATTAACTTTCAAATGAAGTTGACTTGCACTTGATTGCAGAATTCATGATTTCTCAGATGTTAACACTGAGTCAAAAGCCGTGGATAAAACTTTACAAATTGCTTGTGCTTGTTCCTACATGAAAAATAACAGAACAATATTCATAAATCTCCCTCCTGAGTTTACCATGACAACCAGCAAGGGAACAATCTGGCTCTCAAACCCCACTCCTATACTCCACATCAACAGTTTAAGAAGGCCCACTACACATGCCTATCTTGGTTAGCAGAACACATACCATGCTGTCCCCTTGAAACCCACTTGATGCTGTAGCATGTAAGAAGGATTATCACTGCACCCATAAAGACAACAATATACAAATGAGGAGGGGTCACCTGGCTCAGAGGAGCACTCACTTTCCCTCATCTGTTTTATATTTACCCTGAACTTTTAAATACAGACACGAGTGCTGCTACAGGGCCTAATACTATTTTATTGTTATTATTATGCCAAGTATTATATATATAATGGATAATATCTTAACAGTCTTAAAAAAGACTGGAAATGGAGTCTCTGGATTTTGCTACTTTATTGGATGAAGAATAAGAAAGTAACCAAGGTAAGTTAAAAATCTCACCAGGCTGCTGCACTGATAAACCCACAGGCTGTATTCTTCATTACTTGCATCAGTTGTCTTCAGCGCCAGTAAACTTTTTCCTGCCCCCAGGCCATCATCATAACACACCATCCGGATGATTAAGTACAGAGCATGTCTGTGTAAAACATCCTGCAGAAATCAGTGAAAACCAGAAAGGTTATAACTACGTTAAATGCAGAGTCCTGGTGTGGCACTGTAGGGTAAGCACTAGACTGCTAACTGCAAGGTCAGTAGCACAAACCCAAACGCTGCTCCTCTGAAATCCTATATAGGGTCACTATGAGTTAGAAATGACTCAACGGCACTTAATAATCTTAAAGGTTCTTATAACACGTTTTCCTGTGAGGCTTTAAGATAGTATATCTACATTTGCCACAAAATATATGGGGGGGCATCAAAAAGTTCATGATAAAATAGAATTAAAAGATAGGAATTTTTCCAGGAACTTTATGAAGTTTCTATTTATAGGTTTTTCTCCCAAAGAGACATTCTAGTATGCTCAGTTATTAGACATTTTGTCTTTAGGACCAAACTTTTAAATTCTAAAAATATGAGAGTACAGTGATCTAAACTCACTCTCCCATTCTCTATGCTGAACTTCCAAGCTGGCAGATACTCTGTCCAGTCCTAAGTTGAAAACACATTAGGAGCCATCAATGGGGATGTTAGCATGGCCCTTACCTGCATAGCAGATTCGAAAAGGAGCCCCTGTTCATCCTAAGAAACTAGTCATGTTTAACATGAGCTGCCAGGGATGTTTACAGACCCAACCACTCTGCAAACAGGAGCTTTTATAGGCATGAACTCCCTAATGCCTGTCGTTGTCAAGTGTTGTTGAGTCAGTTCCAACTCATAGTGACCCTGTGCAGGGTTTCCAAGGAGCAGCTGGTGGGTTTGAACTGCAGACCTTACAGTTTGAAGTCCAGTGCTGATCCTTCCATGCCATACCAGGAGTGCTCCCTAATGCCTAGTACACATTTTTTTCCTTAATAAGTTATATACTTACATATTGATCTGATGTTGAGACTTTTATACCATACTTGGAAACTCCCATAATAAATTCCTCCTCCAGCGGGACAAAAGGCAACTTTCCATCTTGCTTTAAAATAAAAATAAATGACATTATATGATATACATTGAAAATTATGCATGACCTTAAGTCTGATTAATTACCTTTAGTGCCCGGCTACCAGAAACCAAACCCTGTAAAGAGTGCAGGATATTGAAGTTTTCACCCCACTTTTTTTCTTTCAGTTCATAAATTAGAGCAAAATTCAAATCCATTTACTTAACATGTATTGTTCTATCCCTTTCTCTTGAGGTTAACCCTAATTACAAACATGCATTTTACAGATTCTAGTGAGGCTCAATATTAGGAAAATTCAGGTCTTTATTTAGACTTTAAAATACTCAAATGTTATAGCAGTGCCAGCCCATGAAAGATAAGCAGACACAGCCACAGAATCATTCACTTCATAGCCATTTTACATTCTGTCCAGGTCTTAGGTACGTCGGGTTACCTCTAGCCCCAGTTTGGTATGCAAACACTGCTTGATGAATAATTACTTGGCTCTCAAAAATATTCATCAGTAATCTGACCTATTCAGAAGCAAATAGAAAGTAATACATCTCTTGGTTTCCATGGAAAATTACCGAATTTTATCTCCCAAATTAAAATATTGGAGCATGGTGGCTCCACAAGGCCCGAGGTTCAAGCCCACCAGCCGCTCCATGGGAGAAAGATGAGGCTTTCTGCTCCCTGCAAGAGGAACTGACTTGATAGCATGGAACAACAACAAATTAACATACTGCTTAATTTGTCCTTTCTTAAGGTATTTCTGGAAATCAGTAGCTGTTCCACATTACGTTTTGTGGAGCCACGTGTCTATATTAAAGACATTACAGTAAATAAGCTATATACTTAATTCATAAAGTAACTGCTTGTCAATCATTTCCCACAGTTGATTTAAAACAATTCCATGAATCAAAAGATAGACAAAAGTAATGTCTTATAAAGAACCCTATTGTCTGTGTTGGAATTTTAACAAGTCAGATTCTATGGTGATATGATAAATTTGGAGTACTAGTATAGCACTGTGGGTTAATGTGCTGGACTGCAAAGTGGTTAGACTGCAAGGTCGGTAGTTCAAGCTCACCAGCTGCTCCTCAGAAACCCTATACAGGGTCACTATGGGTCGGTACCAACTCGACAGCACTTAATAACAACAAATGATAAATTTAGCAGCCCTTATAAGCTGAAATAGTGTTAGTGTACTTTTGAGGTAAGCATTATTTATAATCTTTCAGTACAATTTTTCTTAGATTTACTGTTCCTTATAGAATTACTTTATATTCTACACTAAACATTGATGCTAATTATAGTATACACTGACGAAGACTGCCTTGTTAAATGACAAACTATACTCATTAATTTTCCTCAGAATTAATTTCCTTTATTTTCATGAGGGAAGGAAACATCTTCCATGACCCCTTCTCCATAATTTAAGAGAGCTTACATTCTTAACAGTAAATAAACTTCAAGACCAGATGAAGGAATCTACCCAACACAGTACTATCTTTTTGTTAATGATTATTATACAATTTCATCTTTTGTCAGACTCCTTTAAAAGAAATACCGATGGTATGTAATCAGTAACCACCAAGACCTCGTTTGAACAAGGAGCTCAGACAACTCCATTAAAAACTAAAAAAAGTACTGTTTGAAGGAAGGAACAGTGGTCTCTCTGCTCCTACGCAAATCAGTTTCCAAGGCACCTATATGACACTTAGAACTACAATGCTCAGCAAACTTTATAAGAGGAATACAAGTCCTGGAGCCTTCTTCAGGGTAAGACATAGAGAAAATTGCCATCCAGTGGACCTAGAATCGTCAACATCTTTCTCCCATAAATTTCTACTGAGAAATTCTTTCTGCCATAAATTTGCTACCAAGAATCGAATAACCAGAGGCTTTAAGTGGAATTTATTTATATCTTTATTTTTACCTGTGCAACATCTATATAATTTATCAGGTCTAGTGGTCCTTCCAGACTCTTTCCCTCAGAGAGTTTCAGTTTCTCAATGGCACCAACATATTTTATTCGAAATTCTGCACAGGTATCTGAATTATTGTTGCTCTGTCCTAAAGTTAAAAGAAACACTGTGATAGGAAGACTTCAACAGAAATACTTGCATTATATTCCCTTCATCAGTCTCTCCTCATGTAAGAAGCACACTGTTATCATTAGAACTTAACCTTTAATAAAAATTTTAAAAACAGAAAAATTTTTGATGTAATGGAATGACCTTAAAATGTCACCAACCCTTCCTCAAGTGATTCATAATATGCTAGATGTATACACATCTCAACAGGAATAAATTAAATATTATCCTTCATTTTAGAGTAGACAGGAAAAAGAAACTGTCAACTGGATAATGATTCAGTACCTTTCCAATGCTTAATGATACTTAATTTTTTTCTTGTTGTTTCCTCTCTTTTAAATTTTTTTCCTGATTCAGGAAGCCTGGTCTTCCTCTACTATTCTGTTAGGAAAAAACCCAACTATATTTAAAAAATAATGTATTTTAAAAAATAATTCTACATAGCTGTCCCTTACAGATAGTACCAGGTTTAAGAACTGTGTACATGCTATAAAAATTGAAGTGATTATAGATATATAACAACATGAATAAAAATTTAAAGTCTTAGACAATAAATGTCCCAACCCCTTTCCATACCTGAACTTTTAGTGGAATCTGTATCGAGGCTGGCCACAGTACTGGATCGTGAAAGCCCCCCAAGGCTAGAATCTACAGACTGAGGAACAAAAAACAAAAAAAAACTCAATTTAACAAAGAGACTATCTTCAGTCCTCTACCAAACACATTCAAATTATTTTTTTTATTATAAATTGACACATAAAAAATCAAATCAGTAATTCAAACAGATCAACCAAGGGAAATTTTTCTAAAGATAAGCTTCAAAAATGAGATAATCCAAACAATTTTGCCCATAAACAACACTGAATTTTTTTTAAATTAGATAAATCAAAAACATTATCTCCTTACAATATATTTAAGTTTTGTGTGAAAATCTATGCCTTGCTTTCTCATTATTTCCACCTAACACAAAATGAATCCTGTGCAGGAAGCAGGGCTAAAAGTATTATCCTCATTGTAGAAATGAGGAAACAGACTCAGAGAGGTTAAGTGATTTATCCAAAGTCAAATCAAGTAAATGCCTCATATCTCAAATGTAGGTCTCCTAATGCCTGATGCTTCTGCAATTTTTCTGACTAGTGTCTGGCACATAGAAGTTATACACAGGCGAACTGGCAGACCAGACAAAACTATTCATGTGAATTTCAATAGGAAATCAACAAAATTATAAACGTAGTTCAAAAATGAATGTTAAAACACACCTAGTTTGAAGATATCAGGCGGTCTGCCCATGGTTAGTATCCTCTATGCAGTATCAGTTAGAAGAAACAAAAGTCTCACTGCTTTATGAGTCCATTCCAAATTCCATTTCCCCTACCTTGCTCTTAGTACTGATTTCACTACTTTGGGAACTGCTACTACTGTGTCGTTTTTTGCCTTTCCGAAACATTTTTCACCATAGCTTGATCCAAAGAAGCACCACTGGAAAAACAAATGTTGGTTAAAATTACATCAAGAAAAGCAACTCTAAATCACATTAGGTATAAAAAGAATAAAAATGATTCACTCCTTCAAGTTCCATGAGCATATATGTTTTTTTGTACTTAACAACATACTTTCCCTTGACCATAAAACTTGGATACTAGTTTTTTTCATTCTTGCTTTTTAAATTACAAAAAGCAAAACCAATAAACCAAAAGGGCAAAAATCTACCTATGAGTATGAAAAGCATTTCATGTAGAGGTTATACATTATCATCTAGTTTATGAAATATTTATGTCCTTTATTTTCTTTTAATCAATTTGAGATTTTAGCAAAATATGTGACACAGTAACCAGTTTGCCAACCAAAATATTGGGATTGTTACTGTCTTATTTTCACATTCTGTAATCTGTATGGCTCAGAACAGAAGACAGAGCTCCTCTCAGTTATGTGTATTTTTCTTACAGTCCTGAAATACCTTAAAGTAAAAATGGCATGAGAATATTCCCATGACACCTCTTCACTGCAATAAGGCAAGGTAAGGAGGTGACGTTGTTTCCCAAAGCCAATTTTACATCTTCTTTAAAAATGAGTATTTAATGCCTTGTTGTTGTTATGTGCCATGAAGTCGATTCCGACTCATAGCAGCCCTGTATAGGGTTTCCGAGGCTGTAAATCTTTCCGGGAACAGAAAGCCTCATCTTTTTCCCGCAGAACAGCTGGAAACATTCATAAGCTTTATCTCTGTCCATTTCATAGAATCTAATATATTTTACTTGTTAAATGCCATTGAGTCAGTTCCGACTCACAGCGACCCAGGGTTTCCGAGGAGCGGGTGGGTTTGAACCACCAATCTTATGGTTAGCAGCCCCGTGCTTATATGGCAGCGCAACATATACTTTTCTTAGAAAACTATTATTAATTAACATGCACAATATTTCATAGTTCAAAATACTTCCAAATTTATTTTCTCATCTATCCTAACAGTACCCCTGTGACACAGACATTTAATCCACAGATATTATTTACGTTTCTATCTATCATGTGCTTCTATGCTAGAGGCTCTAAGGCCCTACTCTCAAGGGGCCTATGTTGTTGTTATTATGTGCCGTTGAGTCAGTTCTGACTCACAGCGACCCTATATGTATAGGGTCTCCAGGGAGCAACTAGTGGGTTTGAACCACCAACCTTGTGGTTAACAGTCTAGTGCTGATCCTATAACACCACACCAGGACTCCAAGTGGCCTATAAAAGTAGGTTATAATCAGCATTTTATAGATGAGGGAACCGTGACCCATCTTTCAAGATAATTTATGAATAAGATAACCTAACAAATTTTACCAGAAATTGAATTCCACAAAGAGAACCAGGAAATCAGGTTACTATGGTTTTAAACTACACTGTTTTATTATCTTCACAAGTTCCAGACAGCAGTCTACAGATAGCTCCCTTTCATTCTGACAACTTTTTTGGGAAAACCAATGGACCTGATGAAGGAAAAGGAACGAGTGAATCATGAAACAGTCAATTAATACCCTTTGTAGTGCAGTGAACTACTTCACATAGCTCTTGTAGACTTTCTAACGACCACCAAATGACTTTTTCTGATGGCAAAGCGAAAGAAAGTAGGGGAAGAAGCTGATTGAGTCTATGATTCATTTGTGAATAGTGGTTAACCAGGCTAATTGTAATTGCTCAATTTTACCATCCAGCTACCTATAAAACGAATCATCTCAGAAGTAGACACAGAGGATCTCACTACCATGAAAAATGAAGAGCCAGGAGTAGAACTCATCCTTTAGACCTCAAGATCCCTGTGCACTGAACCTTCTCGACTCAGGGACAGGAAGCTCTGACCTTAAAGGTGTGGCAGAGGGGCTGCAACAACAGAACCAAGAACCAGAGCACAAGACAGAGCAGTGGGCTTCCCAGCCTAAGAAAGCAAAACTGAGTGATTCTGGGCAGGAGGCTTGCTTACAGCGTGGAGGCCTCCAGGTGTTGAACTGGGGGAGTGAGTTTTGTTGACCCAAGGAGCTAGAGCCAAGTGCTTTCAGGTAGAGGCTTAGGGTGCAGTGGTGTGACCTATGGGCCTTTATTAGCAGCATTAAAAGAGCTTTGTAAACTGCCCAGGCAGAGGCCTGCTTGCCTGCACTGCTGAGGAGGCTGTCCTGACTGGAAGAACTGTGCCCTGAATATTTTCTGATGCCGAATCATAACCTGTTAGTTTCCCTAATAAACCCCCTAACGGTGAGTATAGTCTGAGTTCTGTGTGGCCGCTGCAATAAATGAGCAAACCCAACTGAATTGAGAGTGACATGAGAGGGAAGGCTTGGGCCTCCCCTCTCACCCCATCTCTGTTCCAATTAAATACTGTTCAAATACTCCCAATGTATTTGAAGGTCCTGGTGTGGCACTATAGGATCAGCACTGGACCGCAAGGTCAGTTTGAACCACAAAGTCAGCAGTTCAAACTCATCAGCCGCTCCTTGGAAACTATGCAGGGTCACTATGAGTCAGAACTGACTCAACAGCACAAAATAACAACAACAGCACTCTAAGTCCAAGGAGTCCTGGTAGTATAGTGAGTTATGAACCACAAGGTCAGCAGTTCGAAAGATGAGGCTTTCTGTGTCCTTAAGAGTTACAGTCTTAGAAACCCTATACAGCATTGCTATGAGTCAGGACTCCACGGCAAACAGCCACCACCACCGCTCTGTCCACTTACTAGGTATCTGACCTTCTTTTATTAGCCTCATCACTCAATTTATTTCTACTTTGAGATGTAGAAAAAAAACATTCATTCATTCATTCATTCCTGATTAGTCAATGAGCTAGAGAAACATCAGTGAAAAAGACAAAGCCCCTGATCTCATGAAACTTATATTTTTAGAGTTAAGAGATCAACAAATATGAGAAATATAACACACAGTTATATCAAAGTATCGCTACAAAATTATAGAAACTTTCATTACACAAAAAATATGAAAATGTGAAGCTATTGCTTCTTGACATAGCCTCCATCTAGGTCTATCCATTTCTAGAGATAGTGTTCCCATCACTTTATTCTTCCCTGGAAAATTCTGGGCTCTTAGATTTACAATATGTCAAAATGACAATGTTGGTAATCTCCAGGGACTCAAATCATGTTCCTTTTAAGTATTTTTAGGTAAAAAAAAGTCTGAAGGGCAAGATCAGGGCTGTTGGGTGGGTGTGGTAAGGTTTCCCAATGAAATTCTAGTAGAACATGCCCTTGCTACCCTCAAATAATGAATTAATACATTGTTGTTATTGTTGGATGCCATCGAGTTAGTACCAACTCATAGCAACCCTATGTACAACAGAACGAAACACTGTCCCATCCTGGGTAAACGTCACAATTGTTGCCATGCTTGAGCCCATTAATGCTGCCACTTTGCCAATCCATCTCGCTGGGGTCTTCCTCTTTTTCTCTGACCCTCCACCTTACTAAACATGCTATTCTTCTCCAGCAACTGGTCCCTCCTGACAATATGCCCAAAATATGAGAGACGAAGTTTGGCCATCTTGGCCTCCAAGGAACACTCTGGCTGCACTTCTTCCAAAATGGATGTTTGTTCTTTTGCAGCCCATGGCACTATCAATATTCTCCTCCAACACCATAAATCAAAAGCATCAATTCTTATACAATTTTCCTTATACACTGTCCAGCTTTCGCATGCATATGAGGCTATTGAAAATATTACAGCTTGGGTCAAGTGTACCTTAGTCCTCAAGCTGACATCTTTGCTCTTCAACACTTTAGAGATGGAAAAAATGTCAACACAATTTTTCTGACCTTTTTCTCACCAATACTGTTTCAATTTTCTTAATAAAACTTCTTAATGTAAGCACTGTATACTTTGACAGAATCTATCACTATTAACCCTTTGTTGTTGTTGTTAGATGCCCTCGAGTTGGTTCTGATTCATACGCACAACTAAGCACTGCTCAGTCCTGTGCCATGTTTACAACTGTTATGTTTAAGGCCACTGTGTCAATCCATCTGGTTGTAGGTCTTCCTCTTTTTCACTGACCCTCCACTTTACCAAACATGATGTCCTTTTCCAGGGACTGGTCCTCCTAACAACATGTACAGAGTACAAGAGATGAAGTTCTTGCCATTCTTGCTTCTAAGAAGAATTTAAGCTGTACTTCTTTCAAGACAGATTGATTGTTCTTCTGGCAGTACTTTCAACAATCTTCACTAACACAATTCAAATGCATTGATTCTTCCACCATTTTCCTTATTCATTATCCAATTTTCATAAACATATGAGGCAACTGAAACACCATGGCTTGGATGAGGTGCACCCTAGCCCTCAAAATGATATCTTTGCTCTTCAACACTCCAAAGAAGTGCCTGGCAGCAGATGTGCCCAAAGCAGATGTGCCCAAAGCAGTACTTCATTAGATTTTTTTTTTTTTTTTTAATTTTTATTGTGAATTGAGAGAAGGTTTACAGACAAGATCATCAGTTTTATTTACATTCAACAAATCATACAATGTTTCATCTCAATGATTACAATCTCCTCCATGCAACAACAGCTATCCTGCTTACTCCCTGTGGCTATTTCTATTCCACCCTCCTTCCTATCCCTTCTCAATTTTGCCCTTAAGAAAATGTTGCCTTTTTGACTTTGAATGATTGACCATTCCATGGTGAGCATATCCCCATAGTGCTGTTATCCCCTGCTATTTATCTGATTTCTTGATTGCTGTTGCCATAAGCACTGATTGTGGATCCAAGCACAATGAAATCTTTGACAACTTCAATCTTTTCTCCATTTATCACGATTGTGAGGATTTTTATTTTCTTAACATTGGGGTGCAATCCATTATGAATGGCTGAAGACTCGAATCTTCATAAATATTTCAAGTCCTCTTCACTTCCAGCAAGCAAGGTTGTATCATCTGCACATTGCAGGTTGTTAATGTGTCTTCCTCCAATCCTGATACCACATTTTCCTTTATATAATACAGC